GCTTTTTTTTTTGTTTTTTGTTTTTCAATCAATCCTGTGACAGCTGGAAGATATTCCTTGCATTGCAATGATGCCAGCTCCTGTGCTGTATGGTACAGTGGCTTACGTCAAACTCACTGTATGTCTCGCAGCCTGTCCATTTAACCCCCCCCAACCAAGGATAGAGTCTAAGGATGCTGCGGGACACAGTTTTGTCCACAGTGAAGCACGCATCTTATTTCATGGTCACCTCAGATTATAGTAGTAACATAAGAGCAGCCTGTAGTGGAGAGACCTACGGTTGGGGATGAATGAAACATCAGCTGCGGAGCCATTGATAAAAGCGTCTGTGCGCTGCGCTGCCTGCTGCTTTGGACCGTGGATTGGTGGGGCCGGTTTGTGCCTCCCCTGTACTTAAATTGCATTCAAACGTAAAGATAATACACACAAGAGACACACACCGGGGCTAAGTGGGGTGGAGACGTAGGATTAGAAGTCACATTAGAAAAAAACCCATTAAAAACATGTAGATACATGGACTCTGTGCTAAACAGGTAGTGTTTGTGTAGAAAATGTATAGGTTGCAGTATGTGAAAGCAACTTTGACACCTTCAACAAAATGTTCTGTGGGCCCTCGCAGCTGTTAGATTTATCAGTCTGCAACAGTGGCGTCCAAACTATCACATGACTGAGTGCCGGCTATAGGCGAAGCTTCACAGCAGCTCAGAGGGAGTACATATGCACGTACAACATGTGCCATATCGGCGGAATTTAAAGGTATCTCTCCCTAAAATGACATTTACAGAGCCAGTGAAGAAATTCAGCCGTACTCCGCTCTGAGTGGATGTGTGCGGAAATCAGCGCCATTGTTTTGTTTGAGGCAAGTTGTTTCTTAAGTAGGTTACCTTCTGGGGCTTTTTTTGTGCCACGTGGTATTCTGGAGCTCGCAGGAAAATATTAAACACGGGTGAAGAAGTAGGGAAGTGGAAGGGTCTATCCATATAACCGGCTCTTTGATATGCGAGTCCGTAACGGTGCTCAGTTTGCCCGACAAATTGCCTTACCCACAGGTGTATCCCCCGAATAGAACGGAACGTATTGCCATCGTTGTATCTGATGTTTGTGGACTGTTCGCTGCGAGGGATGACATTCCTGCACAGTTTGCACTTCTCCTGTTTTTCTCTGCGTTTCAGAGGCCCTCGTGATACAAGAGCTTTGGCATGCCTGCTGCGGAGGCTTTTGGACCTCTCGTATTTGTTGACATTGCTCTGATCCTCTGCCAGCCTCTGACTTTTTCATGCCAGCGAGAAGAATATCTCTCTTTCTGGATCTCTCTTTAGTCTTTCTCCGCAGAGGTGAAGAGGGGGGTGATGGTAGGACACGCAGAATGAACACCGGGCGTCATGAAAGCGCGTATGGGAGGGAGAGGAGGGAAAGGAGATGAAAGTAAAATGAGTGATGGCTGCCTGGCATGAGGGGGAGGTGGGGAATAAGGTGGGATTCTGGGAAAGGCAGAGAGAGAGAGAGAGAAAATGTGTGTGTGTGTGTAATGTGCAACGCCCCTTTACGTGCCACAGACAGACCTCCTATCTCCCAGCTGTTAGGATGCTCCAGAGGCTCCGGCACACTGCGGCTATTGTTCTTCAGCTCGGCCCGGCCCACAGCTCTATAATACTGCTTCTGTCCCTGGTCTGAACCGGCCTGACGGGGACACCGGGGCTCATTTAGCTTGTCTCACTGGTGCTCCTTGTGTCTCGCTGCCACTGCCCTCCCAGCTCTGTCCACAGAGCCGTCCATCCTCGGTTGTGAGTTTTTGCCCTCTCGGACAGCGTTTACTGTATTTCTTTGCCCTTTTTTCCTTTTTAACCCACTTTTTCAAATTGAGATACTGTCCTCGTTTTCTTTTTATTATGTTCCATTATTCCTCTACACAACTCCAGGGATAGAAGTTGTCTGCCTAACCTTATTACAGCACTTGTTCTGGAACAAAGGTAGAACAATATCTTTTTTCCAAACAAAACTATATGAAAGTTAAGTATATTGGGTAAAATGAAATCTAAGACTTTTAAGAAATACAACTGCTTTGTGAAGACTTGTGAAGTATCGTACAGAAGTGTTGCATTATCTCTTCTCCCCTTCCGCCTCCCCTCACTCTCCTTGTAGTGCCCAGTCACCTTTCATCCACCTAATCTTTTTCTTCATCTCTCTTATAGTTGGCGCTCTGGCTCCCTCATCCTCTCTGTTTCATCCTCTCACTGTCACCCGGGGGAAGAAAGGGCGTCCACAGGGTTTCTAAGTGAGTTGACAGGATGGCTCTGAAATAGACCTGTCTGATCGCGTCTCTGCCGCTGCCAACAGGGCAAAAAAAAACCACAAAAGCCCCGACTGAGCTTAGAGTCGCCCCTACCCAACTCGCATCTGCCCTCTTCTGCCCTTTCTGTTCTCCCTGTGCCTCTCTGTCTCGAGCTGAAAATACCCGTCTTCTACCTCTTGTCCCTTGCTCAGTGTTTTGCCTCCATACTCACTCTCGCTGTGATGCAACACCTCCCCTGTCAACTAGTTAGACCACAGCTGTTTGGACACATGCTAGAGTTGAGGTTCTGACGAGTTCCACAGAGGACTTGTCTTGCTTTTATAATGTTCATCCGGGCTGTAGGTTATGTGCCAGTCGGAGCTTGGCAAATGGGAAGGTAAGATATGCGAAATGCTTTTCCAGCTTTAAAAATCCATGTGTTTGCTTAGGCTGAGAACTTTAGTGTCTTTACAGTCTAAATGCGGCTCAGAGCTGATAACACACTGCCAAAAGAGAAAAAAGAAGAGAAAAAAGGGCGAACCCTGCAATATGGGCTTAAAATACACACTACTCTCTCCTCGTGTGTTATGGCTGTTTGCTGCAACTGAATAAACCCCCTCATGACTCTTCAGTCAGTAACAGGCAGCTCTTTGGGAAATGGAGCACCGTGGTGTCCTGTGACTGACCTAGCTTATTCTCTCTGCTGAAAGCCAAAATGAGCGACACAGTGGGATAAACTACGGACCGCCGAGGCCACTCCCCCGGTGTCATGTGTATGTTTGGACGGTGAACGTAGTCCGATACCTTTCTGGGCACAATGTAGCCTCAGTCTGCTCCAGGATTAAACTGGGTTCTCCACTCAGAGCATGCGTATATTTGACTCGATTTGATTATGCAAAGTGCACTCCACCGTGATGGGCCCCACAACACACAGCATATCGCTCCTTTTCCCTGTCACTCCCTCTCTTGGAACATCTCCGCGTTCTCGTCCTCCGTTCAGTCCTCTCTTTCACTGATGGCTTCTTATTGAGCCGGAACGGCCGATGCCCCGGTCGTCGTGGCGATGGGTGATGATTGATGGAGGCTGGAGGAATGGGAGGCGAGGCACGTTTATCCCATCCACAGCTTGCATCCCTCGTGTCAGGACTCAGACGTCCGTATTCAATTACAGACACGCTGCATTTTCATTAGGGCTTTCATAAGCACTCATTTTTCTTCTCTGTTCCTCTCCGCGCAGTAGGTGGGAGTACAAGGGATAGTAGGGAAGAGCTAGAGAGGCAACGACAGTGAAGGATTGGAGAGGAGAATGGAGTAGAAAATTAAAGATGGGCCTTAATGTGTTTTTGTAAGACTTTTTAAAAAAAGCAATCTAACCCAAGCCTCATTCCTTACTCCTCCTTTGTCATCCTTGTCTTCTTTGTCTTTCTCTGTAATGTAATGTAAACATAAAAAATGTTCAAAGAGGAAAATGGCAAGGGTGGGGCTTACAAAGGATGCTGAAGGAAGCAGAAGTAAGTGGTGAGAAAAGAGAAGGAGAGCAGGGGGGGAAGTAGCCTCTTAGCGTCCTGGTGTGTCTGTCCACAGTTTGGCAGCGGGGGTGCCTGTGCACACAGACAACTGCTGCCTTTCAGGAGCCAATATCTGGCCGTTCATTTGCAGCTCACAGCAAGGATCCAGCTCCGCTCTGGGTTTGCATGAGGCCCGAGCACAAGGCTCGTCTGATTGGTGCTGGATGAAAGCCCAGCAGCGGCCGCGAGTGTACGCTTCTCTTCCAGTTTCAGATGGGAAGATCGGAAGTGGAGGGAAGCCGGCCTTCCTTTTGTCTTTGGTGGTTAGCTGGAACCGCCAGATTCACTTAAATCCTCAGCAAGAAAACCCACTCTCAAACACTCTTACTTAGCAATAACTTGGCTGCTGTTACTGACGCTTATCATACAGCAGCGCTGGCGGTTCATCAGGACAAACCCTCGCTACAGAGCACAAGTCAGATAGAGGTTATGAAATTCTTAGTAGTGAACAATGCATCTGCTAAAGATAGAGCGTCGGCAGAGGGAGGTTGTGGTTCAGTGGACTACATACTCCATTCTTCCTCCTCCATTCAGTGGTTTGCCATAAGAAATGCAAAGATATGGGGGCGGTAATAGTTTCTGCTTACCTGCTCTCAGGCCTGTCCATACTACTAACTATATGATATAGTGATGTGATGATGAAATCAAAGGCAATTTCTCACATCAAGCTATGGGAAATAGTCCGAGGCACAGCAGTCCCTTACATAACTGCCTCTCATTTATAGACACATGCCCACAGCTTGAGTGTGTCAAAGCTCCCATTATGTAAGAACCAGAAAACACTTGGTGTGGAAATGTTAAAATGTGCACTCCTGTACGCTGATACTGAGAGTCTATAGGTAACAGCAAGCCCTCGTCTTTCTTAACTGTGACACATTGTCTCTTTGTCCTTGATCTGGGCAGTGGTGCACCCGTGTGTGCGTGCTCGTGCTCGTGTGCGTCATTGCTGAATGCATCTGTATGGTAGATTGTGGTGAGGCACTAACATCTGACACTACTGAGATATGTTGATTGGGATTGTCTGGTTCAGTACATTCTGTATTTGCATTCACAGTGACTTTCCATTTTCATTTTACACCTGCAGATGAAACCATGAAGGCACCAGGAGCTCTGACACACAGGCTCTATAATTAAAAATGGATGTAGTCTCCGTGACGTCGCCCATAGGTTTCTGAAGGGCCACTGTGGGGTCGGCTCCGGGCTCCTGGCTAATCTAAAAATGAGCAAAGGGCTGGAGTGTGGGTGGAGCTGAGGCGGACCGAATGGAGCCAGCCACCTGTTGATGCCACCCGCCTGTCACTCAAAGCGGCCATGGCCCTAATTATGCATCACTTTAAGCCTTAGTATCATTTGAACAGGTGAGCTTTATTAAAACTCCCCCCTCCTTGTCATGAGCAGGGAACTGAGAGACCGAAAGTGCTTTTTGTACCAGGCTGTTGTTTGTGTTGGACATGTTTAAATGGGGATTATGGAGACTGACTCACTACTGTAGTCAGTCTCAAGTGGCTGTTGGAGGAACTGCAGTTTTGGTTACTTCTGTGTTGGCTTCATTTTCATTTGTCAGCCACGGAGGTTGCCGTGTGGTTTGAGCGTATATACATTTCACTTTAAGACTGAATTGTGAATCTACTAGGTGTTGTAGTGTAGACGCTACTCCAAGACCTCAGGAACTATGAGTGCTCTGCTTTGTTTTCCTTTTTTTTCTGTCGCTCCTGTCCTTGATCCTTTTGATTGACAATGCTCGATCAACCACGCTAACTTTTGTTATCTGCGCAGTCCTTCCCTCAGTGGGTAAAGAGAGAGGTGCACTTCACTCTCTACATGCACCTCAGATGACATGATGACAGGTGTGCAGACTGGTGCACCTGTTTGATAAATAACACAGACATCTCTCAGGGCACAATCTGAAATGGAATCTGAAACAAGGAGGAAAAAGTCTCAGTAAATCTGTCCCTGACTGCCTGTGTGCTACAGAGGGGCTTTGTCCCCCCTGAAGGTTAGTAAATAAAGAGACTTTATATTGTATGATACAGCTTTTATAACAGCCAGAATTCATCTGAAAGTTTCCTGCCTTCTTATTGATCTATTAACATGACAGGTATATATTTAAATTCAATAACACCACCTAGAAAACCGTCTTTACTGATGACCAATTATTATTTAGAGGCAGTCCCAGAAGTGTGTGTGTGTGTGTGGTGTGGTGTGTTGTCGTGTGTAAAAAGCACACAAGCATCCATTAACACACCATACACCGGTGAGCTGTGAAAAGGAAGTGCAGCAGGCACTCCTGATGAACAGCAGCAGATGGACTGCAAGTGTTAACGGAGGCTAGTCGTTTTGGCAGGGTGATGTTATTCCAGATTGTTTGGACCTCGGCAAGCTAAGATGCCGCCGGGGGCTGGAGGGGGGGCTGAGGGGCTGAGGAGCTGAGGGCTGAGGGGGGCTAGGGGGGGCTGAGGTGTCTCCGATCTTTAAATGATGTGAACGATTTCGATTAACCCCAACACTCTCCCTTTGTGAACTGCAGACTATGACTTAACATATATGAAGCAAGATGTCATTAAGGGTAACACACTAACCTACCCTATCATGCAAATGTGTGTTTTTGTTTGTGTGTGCGCGTGTGTGCTTAATCAGACCTGACTGGCTAAATGCCAAGATGAGCGTTTGGCGTTAATTGAGCTGCCTGGAGGAAAACCACCCTCCTCCAGATGAGCGGCAAATTAGCAGCTCACATGGGTCCATCCTGCGGTATAGAATAAGGTCAAAGGTCACGTCACCATTGTGTGTGCGGTTCTATAAATGTTAGTGGCGACTTGAGGCGAGAGCGTGGCTTGCGTGGCTAAGCCTCAGGAGGACAGACAGGCGCTGACAGACAGGCCTGGCCTCACTGCAGAGCCTCTTCTTTTTCCATCTGTCTCGCTGTCCATTACTCTTTTACTAGCTCCCTGTGTGTTTATTCTCTCCGTCTCGGTTTCCCTCTGTGTCGCTCCGTTATTATGTGTCTATATACCACAGTCCCCTTCTTCCTTTGTCCTACTTTACGTAAGCCAGAGCTGCACAGTCAGTGCTGACTGCTCCCAGTGAGGCTAATGACGACTGCCAGTTCTGCGCTCAACGTTATGTCTTAGATAGCAGTGGGGCTAGACAAGATTTTTTTAATGCAGATCTACACTGAGTTCAAACAAAGGTAACATTACTGTGGAATAAAGGAAGCAGAAGGAACGGGGTAGTTGTTCTCCAGGGCACATGTGGCCTAGAGCTTTATATTACATTTTCCAAACGCAGCATGGATCGCGAAAAGTCCGAAAATCTTCGCAGGTTCATTACTTTGCCCCTTCATTTAGTCCAGGTTGTCTAATAGCCACATTGTTGGAGAGACTGAAGATTTGTTGACATATTTCAATTGAATTAGCATCAGTGCTCTTATTCGAGAAGAGTGACTGACCTTATCACTGCCACCAACAGTTACACACTTGTCGGGCTTCAGATGTATCATAATGCTGCTGTGTTTACCAAGCTTTGCCTCGATGTTCAAGCGAGGTCGATGCTCTTGGTGTCTAGGTCTAAGGTCTGGAGACGTGTAGGAGGATTTAGTTCATCGTTCATCATTCATATACCACATAACTGCATCGTCCCCAGTTCAACTCCACGAGTGCTTAGTGACGAGGCGGTTGGCGCGTCAAAAATGACTCCAAACTTTCTTGGGGTGTGAAGAAGTGTTAGTGAAGAGCAGTTAGAGATTTGAGTTCTAAATCATGAATCGTGTCACAACCCAGTTAATTAGAGGCAGAGTATGTGAATGTGACATGTATCTGGAGCTACTTCAGGTCTGGTGTGATGAAGGGCTCTCCTGCGCCGGGAACAGGGAGAGGTGGACTACGAGCAAGCCCAGTAGGTGTTTATCTAACTGCAGCAGGGCCGAGAAAGCTCTCGGACGCCGAGCCATGCAACAGTGACTGACAAGGGCATGATGAGTCAGATATCCTCACACACACACACACACACACACACACACACACTCAGGGGCGCAGTGATGAGGGGGACGACAGCCAATGTCTGACTGACCAGGATAGATAAAAAGGAATGGTGTGGGAGCAGCGATAACAACTGCTGCGGCTTCTGGCTCTCTCCTATGCTCGCACTCATGCACACACCAGCCTCCCTTCATACTTAAGAGAAGGCTCTGGGCTTGAAATATGCCCACTGATAAGAGCGGGGGGGGGGGAAATAGAGGCAAACAAGGGGAGAGAATAGGGCGAGCGAGAGGCTTTGTACCTGCAGGAAGAACTGGATTTGCTTCCCTTTCTAGACGTGTCAATTGGAGACCTGCAGAGAGCCTTACAATGGCTGGTGACAGCCAGACGCGAGAGGGAGAAAAGGGAGCGAGAGGTGCTTTTGTCTCCATCTTCTCTGTCCCATTTTCACCCATATCACCTTCACCAGGGAGAAGACACTGCATCGGGCTGGATCTAATGGTCACACCTTTGTAGACTGATGTGTGTGTGTGTGGGTGTGTGTCAGCTGGTGAAGCTCAGTGGTGGGATTATTTAGCGCACAACATTTACTTCATGCTGGATGTCTGGTGGTGAGAGGCTCCACAACAACAACCAGGGACCTGATGGATGTCACACTGACAAAGAGGATTTGGAAGAGGGAAGAGAAGAGAGAGAGTGTGTGTGTGTGTGTTTGTGCATTCGTGTGTGTGTGTGGGACATCTCTGTCGTGGATTAGTCTCCACTTGATCCCTGGCCCTTTCTCTCTCTCACCTCTCACACATAAACACAAACGCAGAAGCTGCTCCATGCCCTGGAACATGTCAGTAAAATATTTGAAAAGCATGACTCAGTAATGTCTGACAGTTCTTGTTTTTCAATGCTATTGTCATGTGGTCATTTCACAGAGAATAATCTAATGCAGTTGACAGGCTTGAAAAACGGTGTAATCTTGCAGCAATCACCTGTATAGAAATCAGTTTCCACTTATATTTTATTATTGCTGTTTACTATAAATTAGATTTCTTGTACTATACAGTAAAACCAATATGCCTTTAAAAAGCAATCTCTCCTGACGGTAAGCATCATGAAAAGAATTTCATGTTGTTGCTTTTTTACTACTTTGTTGACCGTTTATGTCAGCCAAAGCGCTTCTGACTGTATTTATGGTTGTTTTACTCTCTTAACTTTAAAGACCATATCATTGATATGACTGGATATATAAATATACATACTCTAAACTGTGCCATTCGTGATACCAATTTTTATACTTAGCACAAAAGGTTGATGGGTTTGAATCAGGGCCACACCATTTTCACACATTTTACAATGAATTTCTAGCCAGATCTGTATCACTGAAAGCAAAGTATTCACTGTTGTTTTGAGGTAACTGTTCCGCTTCTTGAAGAAGAAAATAACTAGGACCCATCAATTAAAAAATGAATACTGCCTCTGGTAAATTTCATTCAAAAGCTATAATTTTAATTGTTTTCTACATTAACTGCTTTAAATTTACTGCACCAGATTTGAATTTCAAATGGAGGCAGTTGCCTTACAAATGGTAGATACGCTCAGGAATGCCCTTTAAATATGTTGTTACACAAAAGCTTGCCTTTAATTTAAAGGACTCGTTTTAGAACATGAATCCCAATTTTAATACACATTCATCTGTGTGCTGCTGAATGATGCAGCTTGACTTTATACATCACTTCTGGCAGCAGTTATCCTTTACGATAGCACTAATATAATATGTGTATAGATCATTGCCTTATTTAATATTCAAGTGTATTATGAAACTTGTGGTGACTGCCAAAAATGTATCTTTGAGCTGTCCCCTGCAGATTTTGCCCCCCCCCCCCTCCCGACACCCTTAAATCTTTGGCATTTCCATATTGGCTAGAATGACTGAATCTCCGCTTGTGGTAATCTTTTTCAACTTGGTTTAGGCTGAATGGTTGAAAATTAAAAGGTGGCCCACAGAAATCAACGTGTACCACACAGCAAAGTGAGAGACCTCTTAGAGTTTTCAGGTAATCTCCTCCAGTTACCTGCCTGCAGGAATAGCTAAGGGTCAGCAGAACAGCAAATAGAGGCACTTGATTAACTTCCTGTCAGGAGGCGAGCTGCCACA